AGGCCAGCTATGGCTACAAGGGGATCCCGTCTCAGAAAAACAACAACAACAAAAAAAAAGCAAAAAAAAAATAGAAAATGGGAAAGCATAAAAACTAAACAACCACCTCCTGCAGTTTAACTCTTTAGGCCTTACTATACATAATGTAATTATGTAATATATAATGCAAAATATATACATGAAATTCGGTAGGGGATAGTTTGGAGGGTGTGATCAAAATAAAAATATATTGTATGAAGTCAAAATCAAAATACATTGTATGAAGTTTGCAAAAATTAAGTTTAAAAAAAAAGGGAAAAGAAAAGCTGGGGAACACTCTTCCAAAATGTCAAAATGGGCCTGGAGAGATGGTTCAGCAGTTAAGAAAGCTTAGTGGGTTCCCAGCACTCACACTGGGAGACTCACAATCATCTGTAACTTCAGTTCCAAGAGCTCTGACACCCTCTTCTGGCTTCCACGGCACACAAACATGTGGCATACACTCACACACAAACACACACATATACATAAACAGAAATAAATCTAAAAGTCAAAGTCAAAATGATGAACGAAAAATGCTGAAGAACATGTCAGATTGTGAGAGAGTAGAGGGAAGATTACCTAGCAGGTGTAGTGTGACTCTGGGACCAGAGATGGACATTAGTGGGATGACTGGAGTACCTAACCAAGGGCTGTAGCTTCATTAATACTAATATATCAGTATGAATTCCCTGATTTTAAATTTTACTTGTATTTACTTTTTTTTTTGGCTATTCACACCAGTTTATTTCTGGACTCTTTAAGGATAGCAGGCCTTGGTCCTTTGAGACTGCTTCAAGGTACCTTTGACTAGATGGTCTACAAACAGCGTTAAATTATTTCTCACAGTCTGGAGACTAGGAAGTGCAAGATCAACGTGCTGGCAGGTTTGGTGCCTGGTGGGAACATGCTTCTTGGCTCATAGCAATACCATGGTCTTGCTGTGCTCTCCTTTGAAGGACAGACAATCATCTCTGCAGGGCCCCTTTTGGAGAGTACCTAGTCTACTATATAAATCAAACATGGTGGATGGAAGCTAAAGTAACTAAGAGAAAAAATGCCTCTACACCTTCTCTGCACTGACTAGAAATCCCCAGGACTGGGGTGGCAATCTGCCGTACATCATGGAATGAAGCTGTAGAAAATTTCATGAGCTTTCAAAGATAAAGGGGAGGCAGGGTCTTGACTCCTGGTAACATTTGTTTTACTATAATTTGTTTTTGAAATTATTTTTTTAAATTATTTTTATATCACACAGAATACCCCAAACCATCTTATTCAACTATACATCCACTTCCCAGATGGCACTCTCCCATAGCCTCCCTCCCCCCCACTAGAGCCCTTATACTCTGATATCCCTGCTACTGTCTGCTGTGTTGTCCCCCCAGCCATTCCTCATTACTTGTCCATCTGGTGAATCTAGTCAGCCTACCTAGAGGTCTTTGTTTTAGGAGGGTCAGCTGTTCCTCATTTAGCTGCAATCAGTTCTCAGTATTCCTTTAGATAAGATTGGGGTCTGCTGTTCATTTTCCCAGTTCTGTGCTGGGTTACTATCTGGGAGTCCCTCTGGCCACCCTGGCCAACAACTCAAAAGAAGGTATCTCCTATCTGGCATTGTTGCTTGTTATGTAGCCTTTAGCTATACATATGGGCTCTTAAAAAATTATATTGGCCCCTTTAATCTTTGTTTATACTTTCCTTTTGGGTGTTTTAAGACCATACATTTGGTTTGGCCCAGACAAACCAATTTATTTTTACTCTTTTTTTTTGTCTTTTTGAGACAGGGTCTCCCTGTAGCCCAGCTGTCCTGGAACTCACTATGTAGACCAGGCTGGCCTTGAACTCACAGAGATCCCGAGTGCTGGGATTACAGGTTTACAGGTGTGCACCACCACGCCCAGCCCTATTTTTACTCTTAAGGTCATTTGAGGATCTGTTTCTCAGGGGTCACATGGGCTTGGGAAGAGCCCCTGGCTCCTTTCTTTTACCAGTTCCGCCTATGTAAAGATAAGTCAAAGGTCCTGCTCAACCATGGCTGGCTTTGCTTGGAAGCATGGGGGAAATGATTCCTCTGTGTTGACCCTCCTCTTTGTAGACTGGACACTGGTCCAAGTCCATCTGGTGGGGTCTCTTCAGCCTCCTTGATCAAGAGGACAGGTGACCCACCACAATTACAGGACATTTTGAGAGATGCTCATAGTCCCCTGGAACTAGTCGACCTAGGAGGGCAAGGAGCAAAAAATGTCCTTTATGTCCCTCTGACCAAATTATTATAGGCCTCAAAGTATATCTGTTAAACATCCAAAAACGTTAGTTCCACCAGTCTGGCACTCTTAATTACTGTGTGTCATGTAGTTAAATCTTGGGCAAAGACCAATTGTTCTCAGATAAGCCTTGCCTAGACATATATTTCTTGATCTGCTATGTATGATTTGTCAGTAGGTTGTTGGAGTATTATGGTTCCCTCTGGTTTTCCAAACTAGCTAGGCATTGTTTATCTCTTGCATTGTTTCACCCCTCCATCATGGTTTCCCCAATTAAGGTGCCCCCATTTCCCCCCTTTCTCCCTTAATAATACCCTTCTCCTACAGTCCTACATCTCTTGAGCTCCTTCTTTCCCTTTATCCCCTAGGTTCCTTGTATACCCTTCCCTCCCCCCCTCCCTTAAACTAACCCAACTTTTATCCATATCTCCCTTATTAAGGCCTGTTTCCTACTGTTCTTCTCTTTTAGGTTCTTTCTTTTCCTTTACCTCCCTGTTTCCTTTCCATTCTCCTGGCAATTATGTCTGGATACATACTCACTTATCAGGGTTTGGTTCTAGGATCATATCACATATGAGGGAGAACATATGTCGATTTTTTTTTCCTGAGTCTGTGTTACTTCGCTTAGTATTAACTGTTTCTAGTTCCATCCATTTACCTGCAAATTTCATGATTTCATCTTTCTTTACTGCTGAGTAGAACATCCTATAAATGAACCACACTTTCATTAAATACTCATCAATTGAGGGACAATTAGGTTGCTTCCATCTCTTGGCTATTGTGAAAAAAGCAGCAACAAACATGGATGTACAAGTGTCTCTGCAATAGGATGAGTTTTTAGGGTTTATGCCAAGGAGTGGTATAAATGGGTTAAATGCTAGGTTCATTTGTAGTTTTATTGGGTTACTTCTTGTCTTGATTCTCTGTTTTTTGAGTTCGTTATAAATTCTGGTTATTAAACCTCTGTTGGATGTGTCACTGGTGAAGATTTTCTCCCATTGTGTGGGTTTTCTATTCGCTTCCCTGGTTGCCTCCTTTGATGTACAGAACCTTTTTAGTTTAATGAAGTCCCATTTGTTAATTCTTGCCCTTGGTTCCTGAGCAATTGATGTTCAGTTTAGAAAATCCTTTCCTACACCTATAACTTGTAGGTTTTTGCCAATGGTTTCTTCTAACAGTTTCAGAGTTTCTGGCTTTACATTGAGGTCTTTGAGCCATTTGGAATTTTGTGCAGGGTGAAAGATAGGGGTTTAGTTTCATTCCTCTACAAGTGGAAATCCAGTTTTCCCAGCACTGTTTGATGAACATGCTGTCTTTCCTCTAGTGAATATTCTTGGCCCGTTTGTCAAATACCAGGTGACTGAAATCCTATTTACTCGTATTTTGGTCTTCAATTTTGTTCCATTGATCTATTGGTCTGTTTTTTGTGCCACTACCACGTTGTTTTTATGACTATAGCTCTGTTACACATCTTAAAATCTGGTATAGTAATCCTCCAGCATTGCTTTTAGTGCTCAGGGTTGTTTTCGCTATCTGAGGTCTTTTGTGCTTCCATATGAATCTTAGTTTTTTCCAATTCTGTGAAAAATGTCATGGGGATTTTGATTGGCATTGCATTGTATCTATATATGACTGTTGGTAGGATGGTCATTTTCACAATATTAATTCTTCTAATCCATGAGCATGGGAGGTCCTTCCATCTTCTGATGTCTT